TCCGACAAAACTTAGGTTGTTCTAGAAAGGCGTTTATTGCGGCTGTGCAGGGAAAGGTCCAATTGCAAGGAGTTTCCTGCATCGGGAGTGTTCCCGTAGGGAGAACGAAGCCAGGATTTGATCTAAGGCTCTGATACCGCGTAGAAAAATGGGGGAGATATTTCTCTAATTCTTTAATCGTCAAATTAAAACTCCTCTCATTATATAGAGAGTAAACTTTAGGGCAATCATAATTCCTATAATTACAACCTACCAGAGATACAACAAACACATAAGGAAAGAACTACGAACATAATAATAGAGAAATAAACGGGGATAAATCTAAATAAAAAACACATAATTCCACAATTATAGTAAAGCGATTACATTCGAGGGGAGAATAATTATAAAATCATTACTTTAAATTGAAAAGAAAAACGAATTAGAGATATTGTGGAAGTTAACCCAAACCACAATAGGAAATACAATTATTCTTGCTAAAACAATAGGTAGTTATGTTGAAATAGAAAATTACAAGAAATGACAACACAAACTTAAACTAGGGAGGATCTTGGGGTATAAAATCATTACTTTAAATTGAAAAGAAAACCGAATTAGAGATATTGTGGAATTTAACCCAAACCAAAATAGGAAATACAATTATTCTTGCTAAAAACAATAGGTAGTTACAACCGTAAATTACAACAAACGATAATGATGTGTTGAAATAGAAAATTACAACAAATGACAACACAAACTTAAACTAGGGAGGATCTTGGGGTCGTGGTGGTGGTGGTCTGCAAGGGGTCAGAAGGTGGTGAGATGGTGGACGAGCTGATCGGCCAATCGAAAAACTGGAAGATAGTGATTTTCAAGGTTCCAGACAGCTAACAAGCAATGAATAAGATGTGGAACTGCTATTCAGGATGATGACAACAAGTGGGAAGGGGGTAGGGCGCAGATTCTGAAGGTGATGATGCCTAAGAAGGTGAGGGGTGGTGGCTGAAGAGATTGGGAAAGGTAGGGATAGTGGTAAGGTTGTGGAATGGGCGATCTTGGTGGCTAGAATAGCAGGAAAACAACTAGGAATGTCGGCAGCAGCGGTATGGAATGCATGGAACAACCAAGGGAGGGTTGTCCCAAGGATGCGATGGCGAGGAGGATGATTGGACAACGAAGACGGACAGCTGGAATGAATGACAATAGGGGTTAAATGACTGGAAGGGATGGGAGTTGGTGGGGAAATGTTGCTGGTGGTTCCGACAGTGAAAAAAGTCGGTGGCAACAGTGAGAGGAGGAATACAAAGGATGGAAAAGCTGACGATAAATACCCTCGCGAGAACGAGCATCTGCCGGAGCATCATCCGCTTTTAGATACAGCCTTAGAAGGGAGAATGAGGAGGCCGCCGACTGTCCTGATAAAAAACATATGTCAAAATTGAAAACAAAAAGCAAGGGAATCACATAAATAAGCCCTAGATACTTAGGATTGGATCCCTTTATGGAAATGAGGTGTCAAACCAACATGGGAGTGCCGGCCAGCCCTCCTAGGTCTTGACCGATCCAATCCAAATGAAGCAATTGTGGGATCGGATTCCACGGCTCTTTATGCCCGCGTCACTGAAACGGTGAGGCATGAAGCTCTTGCGTCACAATACTTGGGTTTTCTATCAAAGATAGGATGAAAATTAGTAGCTTATTCCTCGAGGAGGGCCTTATTATTGTTGCCATCAATTTTAAAGGTTGAAATAAATCCTGGCAAAATTACAAGAAAATCATGGATAGTACTTGAAGGTGGTGATTGCTTGAGTGTTATTTAGGAGTTTTTTTATGAATAGATGAGCTAGAATCAGTAACAATTGAATGATTGGGTGATGGGAATTTTATAGCCAAAATTAATTCTCTTGATTCATAATTCTGTGATGATGATAGCCTACTTGTTTATGGTAGTGATGTAGACTTAACAATGTCAGCACATTGATGAAGCAAGGAACGAGCTGAGGCCCTTTTCATATGTACGATAAAGTGAAAGGAGTAGGATTTTAAACAAGAGTAGTTGATAATTTATTGCCATGTTATCGAATGACTAGTTGTGAATTCACTATTCAATTTGGGCAACGATACACTGCGTTGAATGTACTTTATAGTTCGATAGATTCACATGATTTTCTAAGATCGTCTTAAATGCTTCTTGGCACTTTGTGTTGGTGGAGATCTCTGTAGTGTATGGATGAGTAAGTTATGCTAGTTAGGTTCTTGAGCCAAGCCGAGAGGATCCCAAGGTAATCCCCATGATAAGGCTTTCTGGAGCAACTTACCGGGAGGATTTTCCAATTACTCTTGAGGAGCCACCTTGGATTATGTCATTTATGTAGTGCTCCGACTGATGTGACATCTTCATATAAATGCTTGATCTTATACTTTCATTACAATTATGATCACTTGGTTGACAAATATTAGATTTTTGGGAAATCTCGTGCATTTATAATTGTGATATTGTCATAAGAATTTGTGATATTGTCATAAGAATTTTAGGATATATCCAGAAATTCTTGAGAAAGATCATCCTATTTAAAATATAATCTTTTAATGATTGAGGCTTTTTTTCATGTAGATTATGTAATATCTATTGAGAACTAAAACTCTACTTCTGGATATTACCTTTGTGGGTAGAAATCTTGTGTTTTGAAAAATGTTAGATATGGATTGTTCTAGTTCGATCTAATGCTAGCCAAACACGAGTTTATGGCTCATTTTTCCTGTAAAACATTGTAGATTAGAACCTCATTTATGAATTTGATTTTCCTTTTACAAAGCTTATGATCTTTAACTGTAATAATCATCGGCAATTTTTGTTGCAAGCAATTCTATTTTTCATTAGAAAACTAATTTTATTGAAGTAGATTGTCACTTCATCGAAGACGGTCTTTCCAAAGAACACTGTCAAGTGAATAACATTTATTTGATATCTTTTTCAAAGCTTTCACAGCTCTTCATTTTTCTAGTATTTATTGATGTATCCACTGTGTATTAGTGTAGGAATACTAAATTGTTGTGTGAAATCATTGAAACATGCCATTTTTGAAAGATATGTTTGTATTATTATTTTCAATCCTCATAATTGAGTATATTTTATCTTTACTTCACCTGTTTGTGCTTATCCTATATGCCTATATGTTGGTACAAATACCTCAACCAATAATGCATGTGATATGTCTCCATCGATAGTAATATTTTTAATAATTTGAATCTCATTAATTTTCATTGTTTTATGGCTGCAAGCATGACATCATTAGCGTGCAAAACCATAGATTCTACTACCCAGAAGCTTGTGCTAAACTATTAGTGTAATTTTATTTGGAAATTGTGTTATGACACTTTTAGAAAGTGTATTAGTGTAGGAATACCAAAATCGTTGTGTGAAATGATTGAAATATGCCATTTTAGAAAGATATGCTTGTATTATTATTTTCTATCCTCATAATTGAGTATATTTTTCTCTCTATTGCTCCTGTCTGTACTCATCCTATATGCCTATATGTCGGTACTAGTACCTCAACCAATAATACATGTGATATTTCTCCTTCGGCAGTAATATTTCTTATAATTTGAATCTCATTAATTTTCATTATTTTTTAGCGGTAAACCTGACATCATTAGCATTTAAAACCATGGATTCTACTACCCAGAAGCTTGTGCCAAACTTTCACTGTATTTTTATTTGGAAAATGTATTATGATACATTTATAAAGTGCTCTTGTGGCCTCTACTTTTATGAAGTGCGGGCTCAAACACCTTCCAAACGCGGAGATGGAGCTTTTATCCAATGAGAGAGCTGGGCGCCATGTATTTTCAGTTGTTTGTTGCAGTGCCTTGGGCCTGCCAGTGGCAATTATGTAACCATCGTGACATCAGGACCGTTAATCATCCATGCATAATGGATTGCTAAATTTGGAAAGCAAATATCTAAAAACACCAATTTGATGATGAATTTGTAATGAATAAGTGTCAAAATGATCCCCAACTTTTGCAAGGGATCTTTTTAGTCCTAGAGTCTATAAAAATTTCAATTGAGTTCCCAAATTTTTTTAATATGGGTTGAAATAAGCCACAAGAAGAACTATTTTAGCTCCAATTAAAGTATTCTGGAAATATTAACTATTTAGATTTCTCTTTAGCTTTTTATACTCGTATGAACTTTTATTAGTTTGCAAATGCAAGTGTTTATGATTCATCCTATCTAAATAACTTTTTTTGTCTTCTTTGGCATATAATGTCATTTGCATTGATCAATCACCATCAACCTTATTTCGACAATCGCTTTTTGTCCCTTGAACCTTGTTTTGTCTGCAGTCTATTGGGCGTACTAGTTCATTTATTTGACAAACCTTTCATAATATCTTCCTCTCAAAGGTGACGACTTATGCACCCCTCAAAATTGCATATTTGCTTAGAAGCATCAGCTAGAAGGATTAATAATGTATGAGCTATCCGTTAAGTATTAATTAATCTCTCTTTCGGACTCTCTTTTTAATTTCTTATATTGCTTTTCGATTATACAAGCCAAGAACCATTTTTCTCTTTAAGAAACATGATTGAGTATTTGATGGCTTTCCATCTTCATTTGTACTGCATTCTCCCTAGCAGTTTACTAAAGCATAAGTGATTTGTTTGCACTCAGCGGTCTCATTTTACTTCATTATTCATTTTGTTGATGGCCGCTATTTCAAATCTGTAATATGTAATTTATTTTGCATTCATTATTTTAAAACTCAGGTTTATTATTTCACTGGGGAATTTACTAGCATACAATATAATTTTTACGTCTTTACATTTGTCATTTAAGTTTTGATCTTTACTTATATTACACCTAAATCTTTAACAAGACATCAAATACATTACTTATACTGAACTCTCTTACCCCCTTAATCTGCAGTTTATATATCCCAAAATTGTTTTCCCTTGAAACTAAGTTATAAAACTATCGCCTGCTTCAATTTGATCTTATTTAAACTGTGCAGTGTTGTCCCAGACAGACCTTCGGCACGCATTTGTGATCTTCCAACAACAAGAAAAATTGGAGAAAAGAACAAGGTCATATTTGGAACTGGAGATCACTACCATGCTCCGACTTTAACGGCAAATTCAGGTTTTGTAAGGGCCATCTCCCAAACTAGCATGTCTTTGTTAACCATTGAACATAGACCTCGTGCACTAACTGGTGATTAGCTCCTTTATTAACTGAATTGTACGTCATATGCAAGTCAGATCTGCATTAATATGTTTGCTTATTTTGATTTTTATTTATTTTTTTTATTTTGATCTGAAATAGGACATGTTTAATATTTTAAAATAAAAAAAAAAAATCTATTTTTATTTTGTTTGATGACGGCCATGATTTCATTTTTGCCTACAGGAATGGCTTAGCTTTGAATGTTTAGAGAGTCATGCGGGGCGGAGTTCGAAAGTTTATTTAGTGAAGGCATCATTACTAATTTTGATAATTAACTTTAACATTCTATAGACGAACGTGGGAATGGCATTGGTGGTTTTAAAATTGTGTTTGGATATTAAAATAAAAATGCTCTTAAATTTTATTCCCAATTATTTACGATTACATCCACTAAATAGCTCGAATTGTGTATTTTATATGACATCCACTAAAATACTAAAGGCTCCGTTTTCTTGGTTTTGCTGGTCGGCCGTCATGAGCTAGCAGTCGACTGCAAATCCCTGGATGAGCTCTTGCCGGTGGGATGAGGCTTATCAGGCAGTGGGCGAATCTCGATAATTTGATAGGTAGCTCATGCCTTAATGAGTGGAGTCTTTTTGAATGTTCTTGGAGTATGTCATAGTCAATCTCTAACCCTCTGATGAAAGGGCACGGGAGCTTCCGTCAGTTGGCTGTCAATGCTAAACTTTTCCTTGAATTTGTTTATGGCGAGAGATAGGTCAATGCCTCCGCTCGGCTTGATTGTCCCTGGTCATCTGTTCGATGACCTTCATTTGGTCAAATTCTAGCCCTAGTTCGGAAGGGCAACACCCAATCAAGTTAATCATTTTATCTTCCGCTAGTGGATCTTCCTTACTGGTACTTGTCTCCTAGACTATTGAATCTCCTTGAGATTTATGCTGATCATTTCTAATGTGCATATTTTAAAGTGGGTTAAGAGTCTCAAAAATCATGATACAATAAGACTAAGAGAATTTAATGAAGAAAATAAATTTTATTATGATTGTTCAATGGTTTGATGATTGAACTCTTGAGATTTTCGTGCCCAACATTCCTGCAAATAAGGCATGATGTATTCCTTTGTTATCCCACTTCCTTTTGTGTTTATATCGGAGTCGATTAGCTTTTCAACTTCTCCATGACAGGTGTTAAGTAACCTTCAGATGGTCTCCCAAGAGCAGAAATGATGAGGAGAGCCTTTAGAATGTCTATACCACGAGCCCATCCCGAGGCAAGAAAAAGGTGGAAGGCAAGAAGGGGCCCGAGGGAAAAAGGTGGCTGGAAGAAAAAAAACCAACAAGAAAGAGAAAAGCTAGTTAAGAAACTTGCTCATAAAAAATAGAGGGCAGACAAGCTGATGGATGAGATTGGATGGTCTGACTAACTTCAGGAACTTTGAAAGGGGAAGGATCAACAAAAGGAGGAAGCAAGTTGGACGATTCATCCACCGACACATTGACCAAATGTCTTGTTATTGCTTGTGTCACACTAGCCAAAACAACAGTGCAAGGATTAACTAGAGTTCCACTGCCCGAAGTGCAAGAAGCTATTGGTGCATTGCTATTACCGGAGGTTAGAGGATTGCAAGCACTCCACCGCCACCTAACGAGAGCAATTTGTCGCTTCAGTGATCTTAGGTTATTAACTCCTTTGTATGAGGAAACCTGATATTTGTGTTTAAAAGAAATTTTTTTGATCTTCATTGATATTTTTTTTTGATGCAAAAGAGGCGGTAGAGATTTTTTATTTGCCTTAGGGGGACGCCGGCCAGGGCCCAACTCCAGGAGTGGTGGAGGCAAAACCGACACCTGCGCGTAGTGAGGAGAACGTGGTCGATACTCTGGCTCCAAGCTTAGGCTGATTGTGTAGATAGGCTTGAATTTGGTGGTAATGTATTTTATATGATGCTAGTTCAACGAAGGCTTGTCTCAGTTGAAGTGGCCAATGAACCCCTTATAAATTATTTTCTTCCTAAAATAATTTTGGCTCTATAATTTTTAGAAATGAAATTTTTATTGAAGTAATTATTTTTCTCTCGAATACTATATATATGTGATGCATTTTTTAAAAATCAAGGTTTGATTCTCGTGTGGCGCTCTGATTCTCTTTCTCTTCTCCCTCTTGGTCTTCTACTCTTGCCTTCTTTGATTTCGTCCGGATGGCTTCTTAGTCTTCTCCAAAGATCTTCGGCTTGTTCCTAGTGACAGAGGTCAACCATGTTGCCCAAGGGTGTGTGTTTCTTGTAGGACATTTGCGTTCTTGATAATAATGTCTAGCTCTGAGAAGGTAGAATTGAACAATCGGGTGACCAAGCTGTTTCAGACGGATCTAAATTTTCTATTGAGAAAGGTTTGATGGGGTCTTTGATTTCCATTCTGTCATATGATGCGGTAATACATAAGCATTATTGTGTAATCCCAACCTATATCAAGTAAAATTTGATTTTTGCCTTCATGACATCTGCCATCCACTGTCACTGGGCTAGGATCGTGCGATCATAGGAACCCTTCTCTTTCATGTTCTCCTTTTGGGTGGCTATGTAATGTTTGGTTTGACGGGCAAATCTACTTTTTGCTTTACCTTGAAAATAAGATCAAGGATAGGAAGCTGTGTTTCCCCTTGGGATCTGTGTGGCTGTGGAATTTTATCTTACATGACCGAAAGAGTAAATAAGAAAAAAAAATTGTGTTTGAAAGAGCATCCAAAAACCCAACACCAGGGCCACTGTTACAGCTAAAATATAAGATTTTTAGATACATTTTTATACCTATTTTTGAGATATTGCGCTTTAATGAAATGTATTTTTGTGTTTTTCTTGCAGATAGAAGTAAAAATGGAAAAAAAGCTTAAAGGAGTAAAAAATAATTAAATTTGGAGCAAAAAGGTGAAAAATAGTTTTGGCGCCTAAGCTCCAGATCCGACGCTTAATCCATGCATAAGCGTCGGAGGCGCTACGCTTA